TCTATTTCTGAAATTTCAGTAATAATCGTCTGGATTCCTTTTTTTTAAAGTGGTTTCTGATTTTTCATTTATTTTGTCAGCTCTTGGGTTTTCCTGAATTCTTCTAAAGTTTTGTCTTTTTCCTTCATTTCATCTGCAGCTTTCTCAATATTTTTTCTCAATCCATTGTAAGTAGTTAAATGTCATTCTTTGGAATTCCTTACCAAGTAGTTCCAATGCTGTTTCTTCCTTAGGAAGGTTTCTGGTCTATATTTTGGTCACTTGTGTGAGCCACTTTGTCTTGTTTCTTTGTGTGAACTGAAATTGTCTTTGAGGTGTGTCATTGATGAATGTTGATGTGTTCTCAGGCGGTCACCAATTGTCCTGGTGGGTGTGATAGGGAATGGGAGTGTGTGCACAGTTCTCTATTTGCTGGTCTTAGGTAGTGTAGTGGTTACGAGTCGGGCTGCTAATCTCATGGTCTCACAGTCAGCAGTTTCAAACTACCAGCTGTTGTGTGGGAGAAAGACGAGGGTTTCTGCTCTCTCAACGGTTCACAGCCTTGGAAACCCTGTACTGGGCCGCTATGAGTTGGAACATAAGCACAGATAGCATGGTTGCGGTAGGACTTGGTTGACACTGGCCCCTATCTATCCATGATCAGGTGGTACAGGAGCAGGTAGGGTTGCAGGAGGTATGGTTATGGCTGGGCCCTGTGGGCAAGGTTGCTTTCTGGTCCTCGGTCACTGGTGTTCATGATTGTGCTGTCCTGGGCCAGCTGAGCCAATTGGCAGGTCCCTGTCTCCATTGAAAGCTGCTTGCAGAAGTTGAGAATGGCTGTGCTATGGCAGGCCAGCTGACAGTTCACCTATTCTGTCTCCTCTCCCTTCGTTTCTTCAGCTTTTTCTCCTAGTTGACATTCAGTCATCTGCTATCTTTACATCTGAAGCTCATGCTTCCAGAATTACCATCTGCATCGGTTTCATTACATCTTTTGTAATTCAAAAGTACATGATTTCTTACTTTTGTGGTTTTGTTGTAGAGGTCTGGGTACTGTGTTTGCCTAGTCTGCCATCTTGCTGAAAGTCCCCTGAATAAAAGTCGTAGAGGCTCGAAGTTTGAATTCAGGCGTTGGCCGAATCATGCTCTTGCTGTGCTCTCTAGGGAAAGACTCTTCTTCTTGTTTCTTGGAAGCCCTGGGTGTTTCTTGGGATTCTTTGACATCTTCATATGGCATCTGTCTCTCCTGTATAACTGCTCTGTAGGTTAAGGGACATCTGTCCCTTCAGTGGTCACCTTTTCTTCTTACCATCTCCTGCCATTATCTTGTTGTTAGTTGCTACTAAGTCGATTGCAACTCATAGTCACCCCTGTACAGAGTCGAACTGCTCCATAGGCTTGTTTGTTAAAATCAGTTTTTGTCTCTGTGTGTGAGATGTGTCTCTTGCAGACAGCATATTGAAGGATCTTGTTTTCTTATCCATTCTGCCACCCTCTGTCTCTTAACAGGTGCAATTAATCCGTTTACATTCAGTGTAATTATCGATGTTGTTGTTGTTGTCATTATGGATTAATTGCTGCCATTATGTTTTTTGTATGTGGTCTTGCTTCTTTCTTTGTTCTGTGTGCCTTCCTTTGTTGAATTCATGCTTTTTGTGTTTTTTCTTGTGAGTTTCCTCATAGTTTTAATGTCTCCTTATTCTTCTTGGATTTCTATTCTCTTGGTGTGTTGTTGCCTTATAGTTCATTAACTTTTCTCTTTATTTAATGCAGTCTGTTTTATCCTCTAATCTACCTGACCTTCTCACCATCTGGATCTCTGTTCCTACATGTCTACCTTCTTTTACATTGTAATTGTTTTGATCATAGACTGACCTTCCAGATTCTCTGAGTTTGTTCTTACAGTTTTGTTCTGTTCTCGACTCTTCCTTCTGTCGATTTAGTTCTGGGAGGTGCTGCCACATATGTCAATCTCAGGTTATTGTCTGTTCTTGTTGATTCTCAGTCCACAGAACTCCCTTTAGGATGTTTTGTAGCACAGGATTGGCTTTGGCAAAATCCCTTAGCTTCTGTTTATCCTGAAATGTTTTGATTATACCGTCGTATTGGATTGATAGTTTTGCTGGATAAAGGAGTCTTGGTTGGAAATTTTTTTTTTCTTTCAGGGTTTTATATATGTCTCCCCATTGCCTTCTTTCTTGCATGGTTTCTGCAGAGAGATTTGAGCTTATTCTGACTTGCTTGCCTTTGTATGTGACACTTCTGTTATCCCTAGCTGCTTTCAGGAGTGTCTCCTTATCTTTGATTTTGGAGAGCTTAATTATGATATGTCTTGGTGATTTCCTTTTAGGGTCTATCCTTCCTGTGGTTCGTTGAGCTTCTTGAATGTTTATCTTTTTACTTTTCAGGATGTTAGAGAACTTTTCTTCCAGCAGTTCTTCAACGATTTCCTCTGTGGACTTGTGTGATCCTTCTTGTTCTTTGCTCCAAGGTTCCCGCGGTGTTTTTCCGGGGTGTTTCTGCTCCCCTGTTTGGTCTCACCCAAGATGTTGGCTCTGGGCCTCTGAGCCCAGCAGATTCAAAAGTACATGATTTCTTACTTTAGCTTCAAGTTCCAGTAGCTATAAGCCTTCAAACTTTTAAAATATTCCTAGCTCTATGGTTCTGAGTTTTGGAGCTCTACCCTGGATCTGCTTTGCCTGTGGTATTGCTGACAGTGAACATCACTGTACCTCCACCCTAACCACCATCAAGGCCTGACTTCTGGGTGGGTTCAAACTACCAGCCTTTTGGACCAGTAGTTGAGCACTTAACTGTTTTTTATCACCCAGGGACTTACTACCATCTTCTTGGGTGACTTCAGTGACCAAGTGAAGGATGAGCTTTTTTTATTAGCCTCATAATTTTTTTGTCAATTTATGAGCATGCTTTAAGCACTATTTTCACGTACATTCTAGTGATTTTATTACTATTCCTTCTTTGTGTGGCACTTGTGGGCTAATGCGGCAGACTACAGAGTCCTTTGAACTGCAAGGTTGGTGGTTCATGCTCACCAGCTGCACCTTGGAAACCCTGTACAGGGTCGGATCGGAATGGAATCCACTCAAAGGCACTTACTTAACAACAATAACATTTCTTCTTTGAAATTTTGAATGCCTTTAAAAATGCACTGCCATTCTTTCATTGTAATTCAATATTCATTCACACTGAATGTATACAAACTAGGTGCTAGAGATCAGGACTACAAGGTTGGATAAGTCATGGTCCCTGTACACTTTTGGGAATCAATAAAGGTAGTAGGTGCTATTGGCCACACAAAGAAAAGAGGATCATGAAGAGAATGTGTGCATTGATTGATTGGACAAGAGAGGTTTTTTGGAGATGAGAAGAGGGTTTGGTTTTATGAGTATCTTCTATTGGATGCCCATAAATACTCATACTCACTATGTTTCATACTGAACTGACTGCCTCATCAGTTCATGAATCTCTTTTTGCTTCTATGTTCCCTGCTCATTTAGTCGTGTTATATGTACATGATTATTCACCCTTGAAACTTGAGTTAACTTTGACTTCCTTTTCCTTATTCAAAATAAGCCAATTTTACTTACTAAATATTCAAGTCTGTCTTTGCTGTCTACTGCCATCAGTCTGTTTGTACATTAATCGTCTTGTGCTGGGAACTGAGGGTGGTCCCTATGTACTCAGTCAAATTAACAGAAGCAACCTTAGCAATCGTATCTTAGATTTCTTTTACACTCTATACTCTGGTAGGTTTTTACAATTTTGGTTTATTGAGCTGTAATTCACATACCACAACGCTCACTGCTACTGAGTCGATTCTGACTCGTAGTGATCCTGTAGAGCATTTTTAAGGTTGCAGATCTTTACAGGAGCAGACAGCCTCATCTTTTACCTGCAGAATGATGGTGGGTTTGAACTGCTGACCTTGTGGTTAGTAGTCCAGTGCTTATCTTACAGTATCATCAGGGCTCCTACATACTGTAATGTTGCTGTTAAGTGTCATCGAGTTAGTTCTGACTCATCAGTGAACCTGTGTAGGGTTTCCAAGGAGTGGCTGGTTCAAACCAACTTTGCAGTCCAGTGCTTTATCCTACAATGCCCCACTAGGACTCCACATACCATAATATACCCTTTTAAATTGTACAGTTCACTGAACCTTGTGGTATATTCACAGACTTGTGTAACTGTGCCCACAATCAATTTCAGAATACTTAGGTCATCTCCAAAAGAAGTGTAGTACCTGTGCTAACATTCACTCCCCATTTTCTTCTAACTGCCCCAGTTCTGGACAATCAGTAATCTGCTAGCTGTTTTGGATATCTCATACAAATGGAATTATATAGTATTTGTGTATTTGTGTCTGACTTAATTCACTTAGCATAATATCTTCAGGTTTCATCCATGTCATGGAGTGCATCAGAAGTTTCTTTGTCTGTATCACTCAGTAGTAACTCCATTGGATATCTCTCTGTCCCACGTTCGGTTTCTCTGTCCATCCACTTTTTGGCTATTGTGATTACTGCTGCAGTGAACAGTGATGTACACAGACCTGTTTGAACCCCCGTTTTCAATTCTCTTGAGCACATACCTAGGAATGAAATGATAAGGTCATAGATACTTCTATGTTTACCAAAGTTTTAAATATTAATGGAGTCAATTATGTTTTTTCTTTTGTCATTTTGATGTTATATTGGTGTCATATTTAAAAAAAATTTGGCTAACTCAAGAAAACAGGAATTTGCTGATGTTTTCTTCTAAGAACTGGAGTTTTAGCTCTTCAGTTTTGTGTTTCATTTCTTTGGAGATAATGTTTGGGTGCGGTGTAAGGAAGGATCCAACTTCGTTCTTTTGCATTTGGGTATCCAGTGGTCCCAGCACCATTTGCTAAATATCATTTTTTATTTTTTAGGGTTTTACCAAACCTTTATATATACTTTTTTGTGTATACTTACGATAGGTTTTTTGTTTTTTTTTTTTTCTCTTCCCTTTTAAGGAAAATTTCAAAAATGTTCCAAATTCCTGTGGAAAATCTTGACAACATCAGAAAGGTGCGAAAAAAGGTGAAAGGCATTCTTTTGGATATTGGGCTTGACAGCTGCAAGGAATTACTGAAGGTAAGAGGCTACAAGTAGCAGATTGTTGTTGTTGTAGCAACCTTGTTTAGTCTACTGCTTATTCTACAGTGCTACACCAGGGAAAGTAATAGATTAAGAGAAGGTAATAGTAAATAGAGGGACTCTTAGTGTGGTGTGCTGTAGGATAAGCGCTTGACCACAAGGTCGGTGGTTCAAACTCATCAGTTGCTCCTTGGAACCCACTTATGTCACTTAACAACAACATAAGTGCTGGGTAGCCCGTGTGGGGGTGCGATTGGGAAAATGGGTAAAATTCTTCAAGAAGAATGATTGTGTGAAAGTATCATTCCATTTTATGTCTTTCTGATGCAAAAGCAAGCTATTTTAGGCTGTTAAAGATTTAAAAACTACTTTTGGTACAGGATTTATAATCATATATTGTGAAAAATATTTGTTTGATGTTTGAGAAGACTATGTAAAATTACTATATTAGTGAAAGAAGAGCCTAACTTAATTTTCCAGTGTTGTTAGAGTAACCAACAAGTGGGAATGTATACATTGTCCCCCATGAGTGTAAACTGAATGCCTCATACCTGCCTCTCCAATCTTTTCAGTGGTTGTTGGTCAGTTTAATTCCATTTCCACAAACGTTACAGAGCACACAGCTAGCTGTTCTCTATTAGCAAAGCTAAATGGTTTTTTTTTGATTTAAGAAGACTTCAGGGAATATTTTTGGTTAAAGCTTGTAAATGATCTCAGGGCCAAGTTTCAGGGGTTCATCCAGCTTCCATAGCTCCATAAAGTCTGGATTCTGTGAGAATTTGAAATTCTTTCTGCATCTCCCCTCTTTTGACAAAAGATCCTTCTGTTTGTTCTAAAATGGTAGTTGAGCACTCACTGTGTAGTTCTGACAAAAGAGGCAGTTTGCCACATAGTCCATTTCTCAATCAGCACATTCCATCCCTTCTCTTTTCCGACTCTTCTCCTTTGTTCACCAGAGGAGTAGAGACTGACTATGGTGCTGGGGTTTATTCTCAGCTTGATTTGTATTTTATTTGAAATTTCTTTCTATGCAGTCTAAGAAAAATTGGAAAACTAAAGTCACTGTCATTCTTTGTTGATAAGTTGTATTTTCATATGATTTTATCTGTTTTTATGTTGTTGTTGTTGTTAAGTGCCATGGAGTCGGTTCCGACTCATAGCGACCCTGCACAGGGTTTCCGAGGCTGTAAATCTTTACGGGAGCAGAATGCCTCACCTTTCTCCCGCGGAACCGCTGGTAGTTTCGAACTGCTGACCTTGCGGTTTACAGCCCGATTCGTAACCACCACTCTACCAGAGCGATTCGTGTATAGTTAAAAAAAAAAAAAAAAAAAATGTTAAGTAAGGTATTCAGTGTATTTTTATAGCCCTTAAATTCTATGCATGTTTTAGTCATAACTACAGAAATAGCAAAATGCTGTCTGCTTTATGCACTGTGGGTTAATGCATTGGTCGGTTTGAACTGCAAGGTTGGAGGTTCAAGCTCACCAGCCACTCCTTGGAAACCCTGCACACAGGGTCGTTATGAGCCGGAACCACCTCAATGGCACTTAATAATAATATGAATAGTTTGATCCAGAGTATTATTGACATGGAAAGAGTTGCACTTTTAATTTTAAAATCTGGTAATTAGCACAACTATCGTTTATTTCAAATAAGCACATTTTATGAGAGAGGTTGCTACTCAGACAGGATCATCTCAGAGAAACCTTAGCTCTAAGATGATGTCCTTTTCCTTTGTTCTCTTACCATGCTCTGATTTCCTTCCAAGCATTTCTGCTACCTTATGTTGTTAATTACCTGTCACCCTACTTTGAGCAAACACCAAAATGAATGTCTAAAGACAAATGGAAGAATTAATGAAATAAAAGCCGAACAGGAAATTGCAGATGGGAGCTCAAGAAGACAAAGTAAATGCAATGAAAAGACCTTTAGTTAGGAAACCAAAAGGGAAGAACACACTCAACATTTCTCAAGCTGAAAGAACTGAAGAAAAACTCAAGCTCGAGTCTGTGGATAGCATGGGATCACAGTGACTCTGTAGGACAAGGACTGGACTAAGAACCATAAGGTCATCAGTTTGAGCCCACCAGCTGCTCTGCAAGAGAAAGATGAGCCTTTCTGTTCTTGCCAAGATTTACAGCCTCAGAAACCCTGTATGGGTTTGCTGTAAGTCAGAACGGATTCAATGACATTGAACAATAACAACCATTTGAGTGTTAAACAGCAAGGATCTCACTGTTTTGTTGTTTACTATTATTTACAGGTACTGGAACAAGGATTCCTGGTGGTGTTGTAGGTCAGCAGTTCAAAACCAGCAGCTTCTCTGTAAGGCAAAAATAGGCATCTTTTTTGGAGTCCTAGTGTGGTGCTATAGGATGAACATTAGCTTGCTGACCACAAGGTTGGCGGTTCAAACCCACCCTCTACAGGGTCTCGATGGGTCTGAACCGCAACACACTAGGTCAGACTAGTGTGTATAGCACATCGATGCTTAAAGATAATGTTCAAGTGAATGAATGAAAAAAAGCATAACCCAAGTTAGGAAGTACTCTTTTTTCAATTCCTAAATTTTATTTATTTTCTTGAGAATATGCACAGAAAAAGAAAAACATTTTCGCAGTTTCTTCATGTATAATTTAGTGACATTTATTGCATTCTTTGAGTCATGCAAGTATTCTTTCCCTCCTTTTCTGTGTTGTTCTTCCCTCATTAACATCACTTCACTGCTCCTTAACGTTCCTTTCAAGTTGCTGTTGTCAATTAGATCCCATACAGACACTTCTTATGGCTCTGGTGGCACAGTGGGTTAAGCCTTGGGCTGCTAACCAAAAAGACGGAGCCCAGCAGCCACTCTTTGGGAAGAGAGTGAGGCAGTCTACTTCCATCAAGATTGATAGCTTCGTAAGCCCTGTGATTCCCTTGTTCTAGTAGAACAACTGCCTCTTGGTCTGAGTAGTTTCTCATGAACACAATGAAGTGTTCTGGAATACTCCTCCGAAATGTTGTCTATAGCCTGTCATAATCCACACAATCAAAAGTCTTTATGTAGTCAATAAAACACAGGTTAACATCTTTCTGGTATTCCTGGCTTTCAGCCAAGATCTATCAACGTCAGGAATTATATCCCTCATTCCACACCCTCCTCTGAATTGTGTTTGAACCTCTAGCAGTTGCCTGTCAGTGTACTGTTGCAGCTGTTTTAAAATTATCTTTAGCAAAATTTTACCTGTGTGCAATATTAATGATACTGAATGGTTTAAAATTAGGAGAGGTGTGCACTAAGGTTATATTCTTTGACCAGACTTTTTCAGTCTGTATACTGAGCAGATAATTTGAGGAGCTAGATTATATGAAGGAAAACATGGCATCAGGGTTGGAGGTAGACTTATTAACAACCTGCGATACACAGATGATAGAACCTTGCTTGCCGAGAGTAAAGAACAGTTAAAAAGACCACAGCATTTGGTATAGGTCGCACCTCAACAAAAATCCTCACCTCTGGACCAAAGAATGTAGGATCTCTGTGAGTCGGAATGATAGTTCCTCAAAGAACATAATGCTTAAGGCGGACCTTTATTTTAATAGTTAAACTATTGTTTAGTTTTAAGAAGGCTATGGGGTATATTTTTGGATTTAGAGTTAAGATGATTTCAGGGGTTCAAGTCTAGAGTTCATGAGAAATTGATTGTCACCTGCAGTTTCCCCCTTGTGATTAAGGTTCTTATGTGGAATATTTGGTCTGAACACTATCCAATTCTTTTAGTCTCATGCAAAGGAGTCAATTGTTCATGAAGGTAATTAGCCATACATTCCAGATCTTCCACCTATTCCTGACTCTCCTTCCTTTGTTGTTGGAGGCAAATAGAGACCAATTGTTGCGGCTTGAATGCGCACGTTTTTCTTTTTCTTTATTTTTGTTTGCAAAGTTTTAAGACCTCAGGCACTATGCAAGGAACTGGAAGGTGGAACTGAAGCACCAAACACATTAGGCAATACAGAGACATCCCATGAAATCATGACCCTAAAGCTCCAAACCAAGAAACCAAATCCCATGAGCTGTTTGGTTGTAATAAGCAGGAGAAATACTTTGAGTAGTGTGATGTGACTGCAACTATATCGGGAAGTGTAAGGAGAAGCAACTCGGTGAGTGCTGCAGCTTTATCTCTAAGTCATATTTTACATATGAGTAAAGAGCAGAATAAATCTATGGAGACAAGATTGATGCAAGGGTAGACATACAGTTCATTTATAAAGGTTAATATTTTTGTTTAAATAATACAAGGAGGCTTCAAAAAGTTTGTGGAAAAATAGAATGAAAAGATAGTGGAATTTTTCTGTGAATATTTTGAAGCCCCCTTGTATTTTCAGAAAATATCAAAATGAGTCCCTAAGAACACAGGTGTATATGTATAGACTGAGAAACTATCAAATGAGAATACATGCACGGGAAGCTCCTGCAATGTTGTCTCACTGCGGTTAGATCAGAAATGAACACTGAGGGACAGGAATAATGACGTCTTTCAGTAAACAGGCTGGATCTAGTTTTTGATAATTAGAAGGTAAAACAGGAGACTTTTATCTGAATTCTGGCTGTTAGCTAGTGGTATAACCAGGGCAAATCAAGTGAATCTTGATTTTTTGTTTTCATCATTGCAGTGAAGGCATGTAGAGAATTAGGTCAGGATATTTGTCCTGTTAGGGAGACTGCAATCTGGCTGGAGTTAGAAGACTAACTCAGAACAGTAAGAAGTGAAATAAGCAGAAAGGTCTGAAGGAGTTAGTGTGGACTTTATGGAGGAACGGGGATTTTATTTTATTTTACTAAGAAAAGATAGGATTCTTCAGTCGAAAGTATTAGGATATTCCAAGAACATGGGATTAAAACCAAGACCCAGTTAATTAACCACCATCAAAACAGCCTGAGTTTAAGAAAGGTCTCATCTTTCTCCTTTAGAGTGGCTGGTGGTTTTGAATTGTTGACCTTTTGATTAGTA